GCCTACGCTGCTCCCCTGTAGACTGCTACGCTACTTCCCTGTTGGCTGCTACGCTGCTTCCCTTGAAGACTGCTACGCTGCTTCCCTTGAAGACTGCTACGCTGCTTCCCTTGAAGACTGCTACGCTGCTTCCCTTGAAGACTGCTACGCTGCTTCCCTTGAAGACTGCTACGCTGCTTCCCTTGAAGACTGCTACGCTGCTTCCCTTGAAGACTGCTACGCTGCTTCCCTTGAAGACTGCTACGCTGCTTCCCTTGAAGACTGCTACGCTGCTTCCCTTGAAGACTGCTACGCTGCTTCCCTTGAAGACTGCTAAGCTGCTTCCCTTGAAGACTGCTAAGCTGCTTCCCTTGAAGACTGCTACGCTGCTTCCCTTGAAGACTGCTACGCTGCTTCCCTTGAAGACTGCTGCGCTGCTTCCCTTGAAGACTGCTACGCTGCTTCCCTTGAAGACTGCTACGCCGCATCTTGGTCTGCTCCGCCGCCTCGTAGGCTGCTTTGCAGCTGAGGAGTCCGCTCCGCCGCGTCGTAAGCTGCTCTGCAGCTAATGAGTCCGCTCTGCAGCTTCGTAGGCGGCTCCGCCGCTAAGTAGGCCGCTCTGAAGCTAAGGAGTTTGCTCCGCCGCGTCGTGGGCTGCTCTGTAGTCCAGTCCGCCGCTGCCTTGTAGTGTAGTCCGGTCCGCCGCTGCCTTGTAGTGTAGTCCGGTCCGCCGCTGCCTTGTAGTGTAGTCCAGTCCGCCGCTGTCCTGTAGTGTCGTCCGGTCCGCCGCTGTCCTGTAGTGTCGTCCGGTCCGCTTCGTAGGCTGCCCTGCCGCTCTGAAAGGTGCTCGGCCACTTTGTAGGCTGCCCTGCCGCTTTGAAGACTGGTACACTGCTTCGCCTCTTCGTAGACTGCTCCGTCCCCGCTTCCGCCGCCTTGCAGCCCAGACTTCGCATCCGCCTTGTAAACCGCTCGCTCATGTGCTTCGTAGGAGAATTTGTAGACTGCTCGCGCATGCGCTTCGTAGGAGACTTTGTAGACTGCTCCATCAGCTGCTTCTCCATTTGCTGCATTGGCAGCTTGGCTGGTTGGTCCTGTTTAAGGAAAAACAACAGACGCATATTAGTATAAATTCGAATTTCAAAGAAACTATGAACAACCAGCTCAAGCAGAAAACGGCAAATGAACAATGCAAGGAATCAGAAACTTACTTGACAGCTTCCATGGCGGCTTCGTGGGCTGCTTGATCTGCTTCGCAGGCTCCTTGGTTGGCCGCTCGGGCTCCTTGGTTGGCTGATCGTAGGCTCCTTGATCCTGTTTTAAGAAAAACGACAGACAAAATTTAGTATTCATTCTTCCGAATCAAACTCTCAAAGGAAAGACACCATTTTGCAGCTAGATTAAGGATAACAAGTTAAACGGGCTAAACGAAAAACGGATGAACTTACCACAAGTTAAGCTGCTTGTAGCTCACTCCTTGCAGCCCGTCGCACATCCATCCAGCTTTGAAGGCTGATCTGCCATGCGTTTCGTAGGAGAATTTGTAGACTGCTCCATCAGCTGGTTCTCCATTTGCTGCATTGGCAGCTTGGCTGGTTGGTCCTGTTAAAGAAAACAAGAGACGCATATTAGTATAAACTCAATTTTCAAAGAAACTATCAGCTCAAGCAGTAAACGGCAAATGACAAGGATGAACAATGCAAGGAATCAGAAACTTACTTGACAGCTTCCATGGCGGCTTCGTGGGCTGCTTTCTGCTAGTCCGCCGTTGCTCTTGTTGTCCGCCGTTCCTCTTGTTGCAGATCCGCCTCTGCGGGGGCAGGAAACAAAGGAAACAGATGCTAGAAGTTAGTAAACAGAAAAACAAAAGGAAAATCAAAAGAAAAACAAGTGCGAAAGCGAAAATGAATGTGAAAACCAACGACGAGAAAACGAAACAGGCGGACGTCCATGGTTCACAGGCTGCAGCCATCAGAGGGAGGAGACACTCTGATCTACCCAACCCACACGCTATTCTACCCAAAAACCCGAGGAGGATCATCTAACGACAGCAGCACTGTGAACCAGAGGGACGGAGGAAACGGCGACGAAACGAGTGGGCGATTGTGGGATGAAAACAATGATAAAACGAAAGCGGGAAAGCAGCGAAATCGAAAAAAGCAACGAAAAAGGGACAAGGGAAGCAACACTTCCCGATCGTTGTAGGCAGCGGGATGAACGATGGCAGCAACTCGTCCAGCGCGCTCCACCCGCCAGCCACGGCGTCAGACCGCCAGTCTTGTCTGCTGCTGCTGATTCGTTGTCAGCTTCGTCAACTCCTTGAAACTCCTCGCTTCCTGAAAAGCAGGAAAGACACAAAGTGCTCGAAGTTAGTAAAAAGGTATGACAAGGAGAAAAACAAAGAAAACACAAATGCAAGAAGCAAAAAACGAAATTGAAAACAAACATAAAAACCAACGACGAGAAAACGAAACAGGCGGACGTCCATGGTTCACAGGCTGCAGCCATCAGAGGGAGGAGACACTCTGATCTACCCAACCCACACGCTATTCTACCCAAAAACCCGAGGAGGATCATCTAACGACAGCAGCACTGTGAACCAGAGGGACGGAGGAAACGGCGACGAAACGAGTGGGCGATTGTGGAATGAAAACGAAAACGACAAAACGAAATTGAAAAAGCAGAGGGAGACAAGGGAAGCAACACTTCCCGATCAGCGTTGGTGGCGTGAAGAGCGGAGGCAGCACCGCATCCAGCGAACCACACGGCGTCAGATCGCGTCCGGCCGCCAGCCATGGGTTGAAAAAACAGAGCAGCGGTCGGCATGATGACAGGCGGCGGCAGCACGTCCGCCAGACTTGAGAATGGAGAGGAGCACTTCGGGTTGTTCAATGGCTTGAAAATGGAGCAGCAGGACTTGAGGAAGACATTTGCTTTTTGTACCTGCAAAGATACAAACAAACATGAGTCAGAAATCGAAAAACAAAGGTATTCAGCAGAAACAAGGACATCCGATGCGTGAAACAAAAAATAAGTAGACATAGCAACTTCATCCTTACCACTGGAGATCGAAGGGCGGGCTGGGCGGGAGGCGGTGTCGGGATGGAGCGAGTTGCTGGTTGGCGATGGTGGTGATGGTGGCGATGGCGGTGGACGATCTCCAGGGTCGTTGAGACGAAGCGTCTGACTGCGTCAGACCACGGCTTGAAAGTAGAGAGCAGCTGTTGGGCTCGTTCAGTGGCTGCAGAGCAGCAGATCGATTGCGGATTCGTGTTTTGACTTGAGGACGACGTAGTGTTGTGAACCTGCAAAAATACAAACACAAAAGAGTCAGAACTCGGAGCTTAAGATAAAGAGATTCTATATCCATGACTTTTAAAAAGCGTCAACGTAAAAACAAGCAGAACAACTTCAATCTTACCTGTGGAGATCGAAGGGCAGGCTGGGCGGGGGGCGGTGTCGGGATGGAGGCGAGTTGCTGGTTGGCGATGGTGGCGATGGCGGTGGGCGATCTCCAGGGTCGTCGTATTAAAGCTCATAGATGAGATAGAAGCTCGTTGAGATGAAGCTCGTTCATGACAATTGAACTCTGACATTATGGAATAGAAGTTCATCAACTGAATCTCACGGTATTATACTACCAGAACTTGGGGGTGGTGTGTGTAGATGCTGCTAGTTCTGAAGCTAAAATTGAACCCAATCGGTGACGCCCTCGGCTGTGGTGCTCAGACTGCGGCTGTGTTTCGCGCGTGTTTTTGTGCCGCTCGTCTGAGCGGGCGATTTCGACTCCCTGCTCTGTGAGTAGGTTCTCTGTGAGCAGCCTTTCAGCAAGGTGAGGATGAAGGAGAAGAGTGGTTGGGGCACTACAGTCAGAAAACTACAGTGACTAGTGGATTGCACCAAGCCTGTGGATACCACCACCTCCTTCCGTACGGCGCATTCCATCCTCGTGTCAGCATTTTTGGCACTGTGCTGCCGAATCGCGTGTGTGAAGACGATTTGAGCCTGGCGTCAGCGGCGGGTTACTGTTGCAAGATTGACAAAACAGAGCACTCACGGACGTCGACGCACATGGCAACAGAAGAGTTATGTGACATCCACTCCACACAAAGCCAAATCCGAGGCGCGCTGTTCACGAGGTTTGAGAAGAGGGACAGAAACGCGGGAAAGGGGAGGTTCGGAAGTTGTTGACGAGGCTGATGTGTTGACGTCACAACACAAATGTCGCTAAGGGTCGCCACGGAACTGTGCGAAGCTGCGTGTGAACACTTGCTGACGACTAGACAAGCGATCCAGAAATTTATCGCCCCCAATTCCGCGCCAGAATGACATCATCCGTGACACGCTGCCACGCTGGCCAAATCACGGTGCTGTCTCGTACTGATTAGATTAGCCACATCACCAAATTCGAGACACCTCGACCCTCCACGCACATCCGCTGTGCTGTACACACCAGCCTAATCAGACCAGACCAACCGATAAGAAAATATGCTTCAGCTCTATATATGGATCATAGAAACAGAGCGCGTTTCTTGGAATGGCAGACTACATACAAAATAAATCCCAACTGAATGTATGTGTTCTGGATTTAACAAGGCTAGGTGAGCGAAACCCATCATCTCATGTATCCATCTAGGGAAGGAAGTGTGATCTCACCTAGTTCCAATATGTGAAAACTATAGCATCGAAAGCTCCTCCTATCTGTTATTTTGCCAGGCTATTAGAAAGACTGATTCTCAGTATGTTTATGATGTGACTCAGACCTGAAAATTCAGCATGCAGCCTTGGCTGTGTCAACTCAACTTGGCTTAGGGTGGGGATGAACCTGAAAGTGGTGAGCAACACACTGAAGACTGTTGCTTCAGTAGGCGTTCTGTAGGCGTGTCGGTGCGCATCGAATGACATGAAGACCCTTGCAGAGCAGGATGAACTGTACTGCTGGCCATAATGTTAGTCTGCTGCACTAGCTCAGCTGGTACACCTCAGCTAATTGCTTGATGGCTTTTGACTTGACTAAAGAATCAACCATTGGCTGAAATGTTCGTCTGTGCCAGCGCAGCCGACAGCTGGCACACCTCTGTGAATTGCTTGATTGCGCGATCAAACTGGCAGCCCTGGAAGAGGGTACAATGGAGAGGCGTGGCGGGAGGGAGAGAGGGCATCAAGAGAAGGGAGGGAGATGCTGACATGGGAAAGGGAGAGACATGCAGAAACGGGCACACGTCCCTTCCACATTCCTCAGACCTCCCATCACTGCCACTCATCTCATACCTCACCTCCCAGTAGAGGTGCTGGCACTGGCAGCACTGCCAGAACTCCGCTACGCGATCCAACACGTGACTCGGCACGATCTGTGTCCATGGTGCCGCCGCCGCTGCCTCTGACGGCCCCAACGCCTGCGGCTTGAAGGTGCCGTTGCAGCGGATGCAGCGCGAGAGCAGCGAGGACTCGCACAGGAGCAGGCGGAACGCGGTTACCACCTCGCGGAGCTGCTCGCGCTTGTCGGTGCTTCTAATGAGGTGCATGTGGGTGGGCGGCAGCAGGCGGCGCCGGAAGAGCTTCACGTCCCTCGTTAGAAGCACACGGCCCTCCCTCTCTGCCCACTCTATCAGCTTCCTGTAAAAGGGTGAGGAAGCAGGGTAGGTAGGGTAGGAACAGAGGCAGCACAAGCCCATTTGGCATGATACAAACGCATTACGAATCCCTTCGCGTGCCCAATTTACCTGACCATCATCCAAGCTCAACCATACCTGGTGTCACATGTGTCTCGGCCGAGAGTCTTGGGGGATGCGGTGTCAACACCCACACACCACAGCTGCCGCGCCAGCCCCTCCACCATGGAGTCACACAGGAACCTCGCCCGCCCATCCCCTCCCCGTGACTCATCCCACGGCGGCACCAATCCGTTCCCATGCATGTCACTTGGGCGCACTGCATGATATGGTGACACCAGTCCGTTGTGTGGCCTGTCAGTACGAGCATCCCCTGCAGGCAGGGCATCGTTTGAACACGCCTCATTGCGACGCGACTCAACCTCGCATGCTACAGCCATGCCCGCTGCTTCTCCTCTTGACCCTCGCCCTGACTCCCCGCTTCCCTCTCCTTCTTCCCCTCCTGTCGCCTCCTCCCCTTCCTCTCTCATCTTGCTCTCTCGTGCCTGCTTCCTCCCTTTCCTCGAGTTCAACCGCTTCCCTAAGCCATCCCTACCCTTCCCTGCACGCCCTTGGCCTGAACTCGCCCTGCTGTCGCTGCCGCTGCTAGTGCTGGTGCTGTTGTTAATGCCGTCCGTGCTCTTTCCCACAGAGCGCACCTTGCCAGTGATGTGGCAGAGGGAGAGCGTGTGGGAATGTTCCTCTATGAACTCTGATAGGGCAGCAACGAGAGGGGTGGTGCTGCTGGCTGCGGTGAGGGTTGCAGTCCTGTTTTGCTGCTGCTGATGCAGATCGTGATGACGATGCTGATAATGATGCTGATGCTGCTTCTCATGCTGCATGGTGTGCATGAGGCGATGGTGTGACTGCAAGGGTGGGAGTGCGGGCGTGACAGTACACGCCGTTACTAAAACAGATGCAGCCGGAATGGGCTGGTGAACAACACAAGGGGATGCTGACGAGGACGCTGACAAGGATGTTGACGAGGATGCTGACGAGGATGATGCTAACAGGGATGGTGAAGTGGATGGGCCTCCATGTACTGCTGCTAGTCCAACCTGCCCCATTCCATTTGCGGAAAGGGCATGCGCGGAAAGGGCATGCGCGGAAAGGGCATGCGCGGAAAGGGCATGGGAAGAGAGGGCCTGGGGTCGCAGAGCGAGGGGGAGCAGCGCGAGCGCCATGTGAATCAGGCAGAGGGCATCAGCAGCAGCATAGTGCAGCTGGTGGCGTGACAGCGGCCGCTGCTCCCAGTCACTGCACTGCAACTCCTTGTCCAGCCCCGCCCCCAGCAGCACCTGCGCCAGCGCTGACAGCCCAGATGCGGGCGGCAGCACTGATCTGGCGGCCAGGGAGCCGGGAGGGGCGGCGGCGGTGAGGAGCGAGAGCAGGTTGTCGCGCTTGAGGTGCAGGCGCGTGCGGCGAATGGCGTGGTAGGCTGTGCCGATGTCTATGAAGGGCGCCACGTGGTGGAAACAGTCCTGGGAGGGGTGATCGTGGCCTGAAATATCGTGCTCTGAGGGATGGCCTGAGGGGAGAAATCGTTGGTCATGGTTCGGGGACAGGGAGTGGTGGTCTGGAGAGGGGGAGTGGTGGTGTGAGGACAGGGAGCGGTGGTATGAAGGGAGAGATTGGTGGAGGAACTCGAGGTCGTCTGAGAAGGCAAAGCCGAGCTTGAGGGTGTGAGGGGCACGCAGCATGGCGCGGAGTGGAGAGGCATAGAGAGAAGGCGGCAGCGACAGTAGGTCCAGAAGCAGCACCACCTCCTCCCACCCATCCGTATTCTGCCACCTGTCCGTTGGTTGCAAACTGTCCGCCTGATGTGGCAATGATAGTGTTTCACTCTCACGCTGCCCCACATGCTGTGGCTGGCTTTGCCCCCCTGCTGATACCCCGCCAATCTGCTCCTCTCCCCCCTGCTGCTGCGACTGCTCGCCACTGCCTGGTGTACGTGCATCATTGCCACTCCCGTTGTTGTCACGCTCATGGTGGCCGCATGTTCCAAGCGGCACACGACATGCTATTTGCAGCAGGGCCACACGATGAGGGGGAAGCATGTCCGCAGATGACGCTGCTGCTGCAGCAGCTGCTGCTACTGATGTTGCTGATGCTGATGCTGCTGCTGCTTGAAGTGATGATGTAGCTGCTACGACAGCCTGTTTAGACATGTCAGCCTGTTGTGCCAGCTCAGCCATTTCCCGTCGGAGTCTGGACGGCCGCCACTCAGCATCAAGCCCCACCATGATTGCCTTGGACAGGATAACGTCAACCCTTGCCGCCCGGAAAGAGGCGGCTGAATCAATAAGGTAGACGCGGGAGGGGGAGAGGGGCATGCGCCAGAAGGGGGAGGCGGAGGAGGAAGGGAACGGAGCGGGGGAGGAGGGAGAAGATGACGGGGTGAGGGGAATAGATGGGGAGGGCGAGGAAGGGAGCATGGTGGAGAGCTGAAACAGCGGATATTGATCCGCTGCTGGTATGCGCGCATGATTGTGATCTGATGGTGATGCCATTCCGCTTATATCTCCGTTAGGCTGACGTGTTGGTGCTTGATACGAACGATTCAAGAAAGCGTGGAGATGGAGAGTTGAAGGGCGATAAATTTGATGGCTGTGATTTGATCTAAGACTGAATGTTCTGATGCCTCCTGTGGTGTCACGAATTCGGGTTACTGCTGCTGCGCTGCTGGAGGGGAAGCCTGCGGCGATTGCGTCAGCGACATTGGCGAATGCGACGGCTGGGCCTGCGACTGGAACTGGCGACGCTTCTCCTCCAAAAGCTGGTCGTCGCGCAGCACGCCGCGGTGGAGGTTCTGTGCCACGTGGCGGCAGGGGATTCGTGAAAATGCGTGGGAGTTGGAAAACGTGATTAACTACCATGACGAAACGAAGCAGATTCGTGCATCCTAGATAAAGCTGAAGACAAAAAATTAGGCAATGAGAAGAGGTAGCACACCTCTCGCTCCTTCACTTGCAGCTGGTGCACGTATGCGACTCCAGCGACAGTCGCGAGGACAGTTACACCTAGCAGCACCGTGGCACGCCTACTGGACATGTCGCAGGCAACGCCTTGCAGCAGCAAGGATCCGAACCGGAAGCGGCAGTATCGAGGGAAGGGAGCGCAGGAAGCTGGTTGCGTGTGAGGTGCGACAAACCTTGAAGCGCGAGCAGGTAAATACAGCGAGCGCAGTAACCTTGGGATTCCAGAGACTCGTGGGGGAAACTGGAGAGCTCTGGACTGCAGTTTTCAAGGAATTTGCTGGCTGGTGTTTGCGGCCTTGGGAATGTGGAGGGGCTGACCTGGATGTACTCGACTCGCTATAGGCGTTCACAACATCACCTTGAGATTTCTTCATAGCCTAGCGCCAAAGCACTTTGTTTTAACCCTGAAACCCAACCCAAACCATCTCAACCGAAGCAACAAGCAAGCACAGCCCCAGAGCCTAAATTTCTGTCTATGATTGCTCGAGCTTACGTGCTCCCACATTGACGACCCAAAATGCCGCGCAGCAATCGACGCGTAGGAATGCGAGTTCTCGTCCTCGCGGCAATCGTAGCCGTCTGTCTCCCGTGGGGAATCCTCGTTACCCGCTCATACCTCGCTGTCTCCCGTCTTCACTCCCTCTCCTCGCGTAAGCGCGCCGAGCAGACAGACCGCGTTTTGGGCACATTCGCTAATTGGCGCTTTATTTCATCGCATATCCTCGCTACATTGCCAAGTCTGCCTTCGGATTGGCTGTTCTTCCGCGATTCCAGCGCCATACATCCTCTCCACCTTCGTCGCCACGTCAGCGATGACTTCTTCGCGCCTCGCGTACCTCCCTTACCACGGTCAGTCTTTCCACCTAAGGAATCACCTGAAAAATTCAGCGGTCAATCAGATGCCGCCAGCTCAGAGGCACAGGAGCGACGCGTGAATGCAAGCGCGCCGAGCGGGCTGTGCATAGCAATCACATCCGCGCCACGATTGGACCCACAAAACTTGGAGCCCACGTGGCAGCGAGTCGTGCGGCTGCTGCAGGCATTAGAGTCGAGACGAGTGGCCGCTTGGGAAGGCAAAGGCGAAGGGAGAATCAACGCTGGTGGCAATGCTAATGGAGAGATGGAGCAGGGAACAGAGAGAGTGGAAGGGGAAGAAGATGGGGAAGGGGACGGAGAGGGTGATGTGACTGCTGATGATGTGCCTAAAACGGGAGAGGAGGTGGAGAATGCTATTAGAGAGCTTAAAAAACGGAAAGGGTTGGTGCTGGGGCAGGACATGCGGATCGTGCTGTACAGCTCAGCATGCCACGTAGTTGACCCTGTGGACTTGCTGACTCAGCAGGGTGTTGTCTTTGGTGAGGAGCGCTGGAGGGAAACGAAACCACAGCAGCAAGGAGGGAGGGGAGGAGGGAGGAAGGGTAGAGGAGGAACAAGGAACAGGCAAGGTGGAATCATGAACGGACAAGAAGCGGCAGTGAGAGGCAGGGGAGGAGGAGGGAGAGAGGTGAGCAGGCGGGAGATGATGGATGAGGCGGTGAGGCGGTATGCTGCAGGCGCTGGTGTGAGTGAGACGTATGTCCGCCCCCTCATCCAGGTGCTTGCTCAGGCCGCCTTTGACAGCAGCACCACCGTTGACAGCCACACCCAAGCCATTCGCGATGTGGTGGCGAATCTGTCCATCCATGTGGATATCCTGCCAGCTCATGCTGACGTGTGCGGGTTTTTTGGCGATGCTGGTAAGCTGCTAGCTGCTGTTCCGCAGCGGATCATTGAGAGAAAAGGTTGGGCTAGGTGGACATGGGAGACGAAAATAGCCGTGGATGCTATTTATGCCATGCACCAGTGCCTGCTGACAAACCCAAGGTTTGTCCTCCTCTTCGAAGATGATGTGATGCCCGCATGGCTTTGGGACGCTGGCATAGAGAGGTTTCTCACAGTTGACCTTCACGAGAAGAAACCATGGGACTTGGTGGCATTGTATTACCCGTCGACGTATCATTGGGGTGCAAAGCACGGCGATGTGTATGATTTCCCCTGCTGCACTCAAGCAGACCTTTTCAGGGCTGATGCTGCCAAGAAAGTGGTCGGGTATGTGGAGTCACGCTTTATGCAGAAGCCAGCAGATGTGCTGCTCGGAGAATCTGTGAAGAAAAAGAGGCTTGTTGGGTATGCACATGTGCCCTCCTTGTTCCAGCATACTGGGATTGTTCGGACAGTTTCCATAGCTTATTTTCATAAGGATTTATACTTTAGGTATGATCATGTGTTGCGGTCTCTAGCTGCTAGAGTGAAGGGGTGGTTGGCAAATACCTAGCACTTAGCACCGCATGAGTCGTGCAATTTATATGTGTGTTTTTCGTAGAACGCTTTTATAATTATATTGTTAACGAGTCGTCAATGTGTATCGACAGCGGAATCCGAGTGAAACACGTGGAATGGTAGAGTGGTGTGTCAGCAGCAGCACAACGTCTCCACGACCTACATGGCTAGGAGGTGCACCGCACTGCACTTTCTTCCGCGCAACGGTTCCATCGCCAAGCCCCACACCTGCTCCCCCTTTCACACCCGCCCCACCCAAATTGCATGCTGGCCATATCTGTGGTGGGAGCTTTTCCCCCAATTCCCCCAGTGCTGCAACATCCCCCCTTTTCCGCGCCTTTGGTGTGCAATTTCGCGCCCAAACAGCAACATCTGCCTCCCATTTTGCAAGCTCCCTCTTGCCCACCCGACTCCCCCGACTCCCCCAAACCGCCTCCCGCGCCGTCAAATCCACTCCATTATTGCCAAGTGCCCCTAGATCCCATTCGTCATTCCCATCTTAGGTTTTTATTTGTGCATGGATCTTGGGTCGTCGTTGTATTCGCCACCTTCGTCGGACTGATTGTGGTTTTCGTTCAGCTAGCTCAGATTTCGTTCGGCTAGCTCAGATTCGCCACCTTAAGTTGTTCCAGATTTGGTTGCGCTGCCTCTCATGGGGATTCTCATCCAGCGTCGCGTCGTCGCGCTCCTAGCGTTATTCCTTCTCGCCGCGTCCCTCGCGCCGGTTTTTGCGGCGGATTCCGATGGCTCTGCCACGGCCGCACCTCCGCGGTTCGCGCGCGCGCGGCTGAGGCGGACGGGGGAGCTCACACTAGAGCGCATCGCGGCGCAGCGCGAGTGGCTATCGTCCGCGGCGTTCAAGCAACGCCTACTCTCCGCCAGCGGTCTGCGCGCGGACGGCGCAAGCGGCGGCGAGCGCGGGCCGGACGTGGTGCCGCTGAATAACTTCATGGACGCGCAGTACTACATGGAGATCGGGATTGGATCGCCGCCGCAGACGTTCAAAGTCGTGCCGGACACCGGCAGCAGCAACCTCTGGGTGCCCTCGCGCCGCTGCTACCTCTCCGTACGACGCGCTCTTCCGTTACCATCTCTCGTTATTATCTCTCCTTGTAGTCTCTCTTTATGATCGCTCTAAAAGATCTCCCTGGAGCTGCTGCATCGTCCCCGTGGCTTCCCTGTTTTCCACTTTCTCTCGCCATTTCCTCGTCTCTCCTCTCCGCTACCGTCCACTGCACGCGCCTCACCTTTTCCCTTTGCCCTGCCCCCTTCCCCTCCTTCGCATACTTTCCCTCCGTCCCCTTCGTCCCCTATCACTCGGAGATTCTCACACCTTGCGATTCTTTCACTAAAAGCACACATAGTTTAATCAACCCACCCCCTCCCTCCCCGCTCCCTCCCTTGCTCCTCCCCGTCCCCCCTCTTCCCGTCCCCCTTCTTCCCCGTCCCCCCTCTTCCCGTCCCCCTTCTTCCCCGTCCCCCTTCTTCCCCGTCCCCCCTCTTCCCCGTCCCCCCTCGCAGCTGGCATGTCTGAACCACGCCAAGTACGATTCGCGCAAGTCGCGCTCGTACGAGGCGGACGGCACGCCGTTCGCAATCCAGTACGGCAGCGGCGCGATGAAAGGCTTCCAGTCCAAAGACGATGTGACCGTCGGCGATGTGACTATAACGGGGCAGACCTTCGCGGAGGCCACCAGCGAGCCGGGCCTCGCGTTCTTCGCGGCGAAATTTGATGGAATCATGGGGCTGGGCTTTAAGGAGATCTCCGTGAACGGCATCGTGCCCCCGTGGTACAACATGTTGTCGCAGGGGCTGGTTCCCGAGCCGGTTTTTTCGTTCTGGTTTAATCGGGATCCCGAGGGGGCGGCGGGCGGAGAGGTGGTGTTTGGGGGAGTGGATAAGGCGCATTACAAGGGCGCGCACTCGTGGGCGCCTGTTAGCAGGCGCGGGTACTGGCAGGTGCGCGTGAAGGGGGGGAGGGGGAAGGGGATGGGAAGGGGGATGGGAAGGGGATGGGAAGGGGGAGGGGAAGGGGAAGGGGAGGGGAAGGGGGAGGGGAAGGGGATGGGAAGGGGGAGGAGAAAGGGATGGGAAGGGGGAGGGGAAGGGGATGGGAAGCGGGAGGAGAAAGGGATGGGAAGGGGGAGTGGGTGGGGGGGAGGGAGGGATGGCGAAGGGGGGTGCACAGAGGCATGTCGTGGCATGCCATGTATTGGGGACGATAATACGTCAACATGGCATGCCATGTATTGGGGACGATAATACGTCAACATGGCATGCCATGTATTGGGGACGATAATACGTCAACATGGCATGCTGGTTGGCTGTAAGCTGCTTCTTGTGCTGGCGACTTGAGGCTTTGAGACTATAGAAAGGAGGTACCGGCTTCTTTTTCCACGACTAAAGAATTCACAACTTGTTTGCGTGCGTGTGCCTCTGTGTTTGTGTGTGGGGGCGCGCGTGCGCGCTCGTGTGTGCTTGTGTGCATGCATGCATGGCGGCCATGCAGTTTGACATGGGAGATGTGCTCATCAACGGCTCCACCACCAGTGAGTCATGCCCCATGGTCTATGCCTCATGCCCCATGCCCCATGCCCCAAGTTAAACTGCCTTGTGCCCTGCTCTAGCCTGTGACACGCCATGTATGACAGCCTGTGCGGCTGGAATTTTCCTCCCCTCCATCCATCACCCACATGCATCTCCCACGCATGTATTGCGCACGCTCACCTCCCCGCTCTCTCTCCCGTGCCATCACCGCCCCACCAGGCATCTGCAAGCGCGGCTGTGCTGCCATTGCTGACACAGGCACCTCCCTCATCGCAGGCCCTTCGGTACGCCCTGTCGTCCCCCCTCCTTCCCCTTCTTTCAACTCTCTCTCCCCCTTCTTCCCCTTAGTGCTTGGCCATCCCAATGTTTCCCTCAAACTACCACTCACCCCCTCCCCACTTGTCCCCTCTCGTCCCCTTCCCCCCACTTCCCCCTCGCTTCCCCTCCCAACCCCTTCCACCCGCTTTTGCCCGGGGTCTTCATTTCTCCAACCCATTCACCTACCCTCTCCCCCTGCTATTTCATGCCCCAATCTATATCCTTGCATATCCCGTCTCCACTTCCTCCCACTGCCAGACACCAGTATTCCGTGCATGATAAACCTTAAACCCTTCATTCCATCTAATTTTAAAGACTCCTCACGTGTCGGTTCCACTTCCAGTTGGAGTGTCTTCAACCGTTCTTATCCCTTGAACGCTGCTATTCCTCGCATGGTGCGCCAGGCGGTGATAGCGGAGATCAACGCGGCCATCGGAGCCAAGGGCGTGCTGAGCGAGGCGTGCAAGCAGCTGGTGCACGACTATGCTGTCATCATCATTGACCTGCTGGAGCAGAAGGTGCGTGTGAGAAGGTGTAGGTTACGAGGGCAAGCATCGGCCTCAAAGGCGTGCAAGCAGCTGGTGCACGACTATGCTGTCATCATCATTGACCTGCTGGAGCAGAAGGTGCGCGTGATAAGGGCAAGCATGGTGGCTGCGGCATTGTCGTGAAGCAGAAGGTAGGATTTGTTAGGCGTCTCGCAGAACATGCAAGCAGCTGGTGCACGACTATGCTGTCATTATCATTGACCTGCTGGAGCAGAAGGTGCGCGTCACGAGGGAATGCATGGTGGGACAATGATGACGTCACAACCTTGCTGTGGCCACCATCCAAGCCCATGGTGCCACTGCCATGCCATGGGCCTCTGTGACAACATGGTTGCAAGCACGCAAGCACGCACCCATTCTCACTGATCGTCCCGCTCCACCTGCTCCCCACCCCCTTCACCACCACCCGGACTCCCTTGTGACGACTGCCGTCATCCTCTGTGCCGACCTGGCTGCAAGCATCACTTCTCATGTATCATCCCGCTCCACCTGCCTCCCACCTCTTCCCCTATTACCTCACCACATCATCAGATGGACCCCTCCCTTGTGTGCCATGCCATCGGCCTGTGTGACGACATGGCGGCAACCACCGCTCACACCACGCCCACGCCCAGGTGACCTTACTCCCTCTACTCTCTCCCAAGCCGACCACGCCTCGCGTGGTCTCCAAACGAATCCATCCCCCACACCTCTCTCCCCTTTCCCCAGATGCCTCTTTCCGCACTCACTCACTGCCCCTGCCCCTCTCCTCTCGTACCGGACTATGCCTCTACTCCTTTTCTGCATCTCCCCTCGACTCAAATTTGTTTTGCTGCTGCTTGCTTTCCTCATCCCCCCCTGCCAGCATGAGTCGCCGCCTGCTCGGGTGGGAGGAGGACCCAATTATCCAGATGCCCGGGGACCACGCTGACGGTGAGGCCAGTGGCAGCAGCAGCAACGGCGGGCGAGTGGGCGATCCCAAGTGTTCGCTGTGTGAGGCGACGGTGATATGGGTGCAGAACCAGCTGGCGAGGAACAAGACGCGGGCGGAGATCATCAGCCACCTCAACAAGGTGCGTCTTCCCCACCCTGCCAGCTTCCCATGCCGTCGTTTCAATCAGTCGGCAGATTATGGCACACCAACAGTACAATTTATCAGGCAGAAAATGGTGATCAGTCACCATTGCACACAGATTGAATGTGTGAGGCACAAATCTTTTTGCAGTATCAGGCGCGTATCGTTTGCCTTATGCACCTTTCTCCCCTCCCCTCCCCTCCATTCCCTTCCCTTCCCCTCCCCTCCATTCCCCTCTCCTCCCCTCCCATTCCCTACCCGCTGCAAATGTCCGCTTTCGTCCCTTTCCTCCCCCACACTCCTCCCTGCTCAGATGTGTGAGCACATTCCAAGCCCAGGCGGGCAGGCGCAGGTGGACTGTAACAAGGTGCACAAGATGCCGGCTGTGGCCTTCACCATTGGGGACAAGCAGTTTGAGCTACAGCCGGAGCAGTACGTGCTACAGGCGGGGCAGGGCGGCCAGCAGCTCTGCATCAGCGGCTTCCTACCCCTCGATGTGCCGGAACCCCTGGGTCCCATCTGGTGAGTTGGGTGGGTGTGTGTGTTGACGTGCATGCAAGTCTCTGGTGCGACTCCTCCAAGTGTCCTTTAACAGCAGGGACAGCACCATGAGCAGCTCTGCAGCAGTACGTGCTACAAGCGGGGCAGGGCGGCCAGCAGCTCTGCATCAGCGGCTTCCTGCCCCTCAGATGTGCCGGAACCCCTGGGTCCTATTTGGTGAGTAGGGGTGTGTGTCTGCACTCTTGCATGCAAGTCTCTGTTGTCAAGTGTTTGTTTACGACAAGGGCAGCAGCAGCAGCTCTGCATCAGCGGCTTCCTGCCCCTCGGCGTGCCTGAACGCCTCGGCTCCATCTGGTGAGTTGCGGTGTTTGTCTTTGTGTCGCCAAGGGCATAAGCAGCAGCAGCAGCAGCAGCAGCAGCAGCAGCAGCAGCAGCAGCAGCAGCAGCAGCAGCAGCAGCAGCAGCAGCAGCAGCAGCAGCAGCAGCAGCAGCAGCAGCAGCAGCAGCAGCAGCAGCAGCAGCAGCAGCAGCAGCAGCAGCAGCAGCAGCAGCAGCAGCAGCAGCAGCAGCAGCAGCAGCAGCAGCAGCAGCAGCAGCAGCAGCAGCAGCAGCAGCAGCAGCAGCAGCAGCAGCAGCAGCAGCAGCAGCAGCAGCAGCAGCAGCAGCAGCAGCAGCAGCAGCAGCAGCACCAGCACCAGCACCAGCACCAGCACCAGCACCAGCACCAGCACCAGCACCAGCACCAGCAGCAGCAGCAGCAGCAGCAGCAGCAGCAGCAGCAGCAGCAGCAGCAGCAGCAGCAGCAGCAGCAGCAGCAGCAGCAGCAGCAGCAGCACCAGCACCAGCACCAGCACCAGCAGCAGCACCAGCACCAGCAGCAGCAGCAGCACCAGCACCAGCACCAGCACAGCAGCACCAGCACCAGCACCAGCACCAGCAGCAGCAGCAGCAGCAGCAGCAGCAGCAGCAGCAGCAGCAGCAGCAGCAGCAGCAGCAGCAGCAGCAGCAGCAGCAGCAGCAGCAGCAGCAGCAGCAGCAGCAGCAGCAGCAGCAGCAGCAGCAGCAGCAGCAGCAGCAGCAGCAGCAGCAGCAGCAGCAGCAGCAGCAGCAGCAGCCAGCAGCAGCAGCACAGCAGCACAGCAGCACAGCAGCACAGCAGCACCAGCACAGCAGCACAGCAGCAGCAGCAGCACAGCAGCAGCAGCAGCAGCAGCAGCACCACCAGCAGCCACCAGCACCACCAGCACCACCAGCACCACCAGCACCACCAGCACCACCAGCACCACCAGCACCACCAGCACCACCAGCACCACCAGCACCACCAGCACCACCAGCACCACCAGCACCACCAGCACCACCAGCACCACCAGCACCACCAGCACCACCAGCACCACCAGCACCACCAGCACCACCAGCACCACCAGCACCACCAGCACCACCAGCACCACCAGCACCACCAGCACCACCAGCACCACCAGCACCACCAGCACCACCAGCACCACCAGCACCACCAGCACCACCACCACCACCACCACCACCACCACCACCACCACCACCATGCGGCTTCCTGCCCCTCTATGTGCCCGAACCCCTCGAACCCATCTGGTGAGTGAAGGGGTGTGTGTCTGTGTGACGTTCGAACAAGTCTTAGTGACGCGGCTCCGATTCATTGACTCTCTCTCTCTGCTTCAAGGCAGCAGCACCAGTGCTCCCCGATTGTCTGCCAAGTCACCCCCTCGCCCGCTCCCCCCATCTTCCCCACCCTCCTCCCAATGCCAGGATTCTGGGAGACACGTTCCTGGGGGCGTACCACTCAGTGTACGACTTTGGCAATGAGCGCGTGGGATTTGCTGAGTCGGCGTGATTGAGGGGCAGTGGTGCTGCTGTGCTGAGTCAGCATGGCAGTGGTGCTGCTGTGCTGAGTCAGCATGGCAGTGGTGGTGTGCTGGTTCAGGATCCTGGGGCAGCAGTAGTGCGTTGAGGAGTCAGCATGGTGGAGCAGAATGTGTGCATTCCTAGGTGAATGCACGTCACATGCTATGTTGTGCTGTGTGTGGTGTGGCACGTGCTTCATGCATGTGGTGTACATTTAGGCAGGAAACAGTTTACAGTCGATATGGTTATAGGTTTCCAATTCAGTTTATGCATATGCACACTTCTGTTCTTTAGGGCATTGTGAGTGAGTGCGACTTATTGACACGACATGTAAGATAATGTTCCTTTCCAACCCATGACATGGAAAAGAAGAGGGTCCGTGAGTAGTTGAGACTCCTCTAGGCAATTTCTTGTACTGTCTCAGGTTGTCCCAGGTTGCCATGCCTAGTGCTGGACAATATTAAAACCTGAAAAGTTATGCATCAATCCAAGCTAACAGCTTTTCAATACGTGCTTTTTAAATGAAGGGGGAACTGCAAGTGCTCTAGAAACTACAGCAAGGGATTGCTTGCTTGGGCTGCACACAGCAAGCCGCATCCCTTGCTTGGCCTCGGCTCAGGCCCAACAGTAATAATAAAAAGGGTTACATGTGCTATAGGGGTTTTAGCTGTCTCGCTGACCGAGGCTGGGGCGCGTTACAAGGATAATTAGATACAAGAACTAGTTGGTTTGCAGGAGAGGGGCTGGTGGGGACTGGTGTGCTTGTTACTTGGGAGTTGGTGAGGAGGAGGGACAAAGAAAAGGGTGGCAGGATGGGCATGGAATCAGATACGAGTCAACTGGGCAAGGGAGAGAGAGGTAGGCAGAGGTAGGTGCAGGTTAGTTGCAGCTCAGGGGCAGCAGGAAGGATGTCAGTTGCAGCAGAGGGGGAGGAGGGATGTCAGTTGGAGCAGAGGAGAAGGGGAGGAGGGATGTCAGTTGGAGGAGAGGAGAAGGGGAGGAGTGTCAGTTGGAGAAGGCAACGAGCGCCAGCAGCTTCCGCAGCCGCTCGTCTTTGCACACCTGGTTCAACCTCTCCTGTGTCACCGCCCTGCTCGCACAGAGATACACAGATAAAGGGAGAAAAGAGTGAGAAAAGAGGGAGGGGGGGAGGGGGGGGCAGGGTGGATTGAGGGGAGAGCACAGGGGAGATGAGAAAACGAGTTAGGAGAAAAATATAAGGGGTCGAAATCAAGAAGGGGGAGTGGAGAGTGAAGGAGTTTCGGTAAAGATGTCATACATATTCGCCACAAATCCATGGGTGCAGCACTTACTTTTGCCGGGAGACGCGAGCCCAGTACTCTGATTTGACAATGGCCCGCTTGAGCTGCGGCCACAGCAGCAGACAGTCCTGACACGCTGGTGGGTGCACACGAGGGGAAGAGAGGGGGAAGAGGCGCAAGTGGGGGAGAAGAGTCGAGCAATGACATCGTGTGGGATTGGGGTGGAGGAGAGAAGGGAAGAGAGGGGAAAGGAATGGAGTATTTGCTATTTAATCCCAAGCACTCACATCCAAGCGTGACGTCCCAGAGCTCCTTAATCTCTGTCTCGCTGCTGAACGAGTTGCAGTTGCGGTGGCCAAACTCCAGGAACTTGACAATCACCGCCAGCGACGCGGGCAGCTTCTTGTACGTGGCCAGGTCCAACTTCTTCTTGACTATGTCCTCAGAGGACAGCTGCAGCATCGATACATTGACGCACGCTGCCATCGCTAGAGTCTTGTACGTGATCTTTGGGTCCGTACCTGGGAGGAGGGGTAGGGGTGAGGCGGAGGAGGGGAAGGAGACTTGGAGAAGGAAGAAGAGAGATGCAAAGCGTGTGGTGATGGACAATCAAACACTGTAGTAGCTACATGCGAATCATGAGTTGTAGCATAGCATGCTTACTCTTGACGCTGCTCCATGCAGCCATGGATGCAAGGAGTGGCACGAAGTCATGTGGGTCCACAGGCACCTTGATATTCCGCCTCTGCATTGGGTGCATTGCATGGTGGGACGGTGGGGATGGTGGGGATGGCGGGGATGCAATCAGAACAAGCAGCCAGTCAGGAAAGACAGCACAACCATTGGGGCAGTCTACAAGGCTAGATGCACAGATAGGCGGCCTGAAAGGTACAAGGTGAAGGCACAGCGGCACAAGGAAGGCAAGGCGACTCACACAAGCAAGTTGACTGTTGAGTTGACGAGAGGCGGGTTGACTCACAAAGGAGAAGATGTTGAGGATGACGTCAGCGGCCTGCATGAGGCTGGTCTGCCCCTCCGCCCCCGACCGCAGCTGCCCCGTCATGTTGGTTCGCCCCGTCTCCGCCACGTACTCGATCAGCTGGGAAGGGTGGGGAGGAGGGGGGGGGGGGGGGGGGGGGGAGGGGAGGGGGGAGGGGGAGGACAACAAGGGTGGATGGGGGAGGGTGCGAGGAGCAAGGCGAATGGAGGGCGTGTGCCATGTTGGTGGGCCCTGTCTCCGTCACCTACTCGATCAGCTGGGAAGGGGGGGGAGGAGGGGGGAGGAGGGGGGGAGGGGGGAAGGGGGGGGTTGGGGGGTCAGGAAGGAGAGGGGGGACAAGCGGGGAGGGGGTGCGTGGGGAGGCAGTGTGTCATGTTTGTGGCTGTGGATGCTCTGCTTGAAGAGGAAGCGAATTCCGCGGTGCCAAGGACAGTGTGAGTGTGATAGGCGCGAGCGAGGGCGTGCAATGGATGAGGGAGAGGGGGGCGAAGGAGGGGGGCGAAGGAGGGGGGCGAAGGAGAGGGGCGAAGGAGGGGGGCGAAGGAGAGGGGCGAAGGAGAGGGGCGAAGGAGAGGGGTGCTCACGAAGCGGTGGCCGCCGCGTTTGAGGATGGAGTTGCAGCCACGGGGCTCGCTGCTCATGTGCACCAGGGCGGGCAGCAGGTAGCGCGATGCCAGTAGCGGCCTGCCGTGACGGCAGGAAAACGAAAGGGGGAGAGGGGAGGGCCAGTTGAGGGGGAAGGAGCGATTTGGAGGAGCCTGGCAGGTGATGACAGACAATCCGCCCATGTCTAATCACACGTGTCGCATCGCATGGCAGTCTGGCTGTAAGATCCCTCAGAACATATCCATCCACTGCCCTCGTCTGTCCGCCTCCTGTCCTTGGGTGCAATCCCACCTACCGCCCACCCACCCACCCCCACCAGCAGCAGCAGCACGAGCGTGCTCACCTGTCCTCGTCCTCCCCCTTGACACCCAGCATGAAGCCCAGCAGCCGCCCCACCCTCTTGCGATGCGCTGATGGTGCCACCGCCAGGTAGCTGCCAGGGGAATGGGAGAGAGGGGAAATAGGGGGGAGGGGGGAAAAGAAGGGAAGGGGGGTTGAAGTGGAGGAGAAAAGGTGGGTCAGTCACAGGTTGGGGAGGGAGGTATGTGCTGTGATATTGTATGATGTGATGATGCGATGAGATGCACTGCTATGCTATGTGATGTCATGTGATGGGATATGCCAGATGGGTTGCGATACAACCTGTTGTGCTGTGTTGCGTATCGTTGCAATGTGATCGCGGGCGGTGCAACGCTGGTGGCTAGAGAGGGGAAAGCAGGGTGCTCGCTAGGTAGCTAGGGTGCAGGCAGTACCTTCCCAGCACTTTGACGGCAGACAAAACTCCAATACCGCACCCACTCTAACATGTGATGATGGTGCAATGATGGTGGTGATAAGGGCAAGCAAGGCGCTAGTGTAGCGTGCTGGCAGTACCTACCTTCCCAGCACTTTGATGGCAGACAAAACGCTGGTGGCTAGCGTGGGGAAAGCAGGGTGCTAGGTAGCTAGCTAGCTAGCGTGCAGGCAGTACCTACCTTCCCAGCACTTTGACGGCAGACAAAACTCCGTCATGTGAATACCGTTCCCGCTCCTGCACACAGAAACGCATGCGAGGGAGCAAGAACGCATGAAGAAACACATTAGGGCGCAATGATGCACACAGAAGCAGACGAACACACAGTAATACACGAAGAACTATTTCACACACAGCTACACTGAGTGACTTCGTAAGTCGGCGTACAAGCAGCACCACACATGCCTGTTCCATCTCTCTCACCTGGGCGAGTTGCAGGAAGATGATCAAGTCCTTGATGATGACAGGCATCCAGCAGCATTTCAACACGCACACACCTGCACCAGGTGGCTTTTTGAAGTCAACTTAGAAGCCGCAGCGTGCACGCCCTTCCCACTCACGCACCTGGGCGAGTTGCAGCAAGATGAGCACGTCCTTGATGATCGCATCCAACAGCTTCACACACACCTGCACCGTCTCCGCCCCTAGCCTCTCCACCAGCGTCGCCACCTCCTTCCCCTCCTCCTCCCCGCCCTTCTCCTCCCCGCCCGCTCCCCCCTTCCCCTTCCCTTTCTCCACCTCCGCAGCAGCCCCAGCCAGGGCCGCAATCACCTTCTCAACCAGGCAGTAACAATCCCCTAGCACCCGATACAGCCTCTTCACCTCCTCAGGAGGGCCACTCTCCTCCGGAACCTCCTCCTCTATCTGCAACAGCGACGGATCATCGTCGTTGTCTTTCGGCGGCTCCCACACCATTTCATTCACCACGGACCGCCAGTCCTCGCTGGTGGGCACTAGCGATTGCATCCGTGTGATCTCCCCCTTGCCCAACCCGCCTGCTCGCCCCAGACCTCCTGCCTTACGGTCCAGATTGCCGCCCAGCGCCGCCCACGCTGCATCCGCATGCATTTTGCCCTTTTCCTCGCCGTCCATTTCGCCCTCCCCTTCGCCGCCCTCACCTCCCTCCCCACCCTCGCCCTTCTCAGCCTCCTCCTCATTCTCAATCGTCAGCACTGCCAGCTCCTGTAGCAGCGGAGGCATTTCCACCTTCAGAGACTGCAGCAGCACCAGCAGGAACCGATCAGCCGGCGACGGCCGCACCGCACTCAGCCCATTCGCACCGCTCCCAGCTCCTCCGCCTTCCCCGGTCTCCACGAGCCAGGCCTCCC